TCTTTCACTTCAAATTTGGATGCAAGGAATTGTTTCAATTTCTGTATCTCTGAACTCCAACTCCCTGTAATGATGATATCGTCTACATACACTATTAATACGGCAACCTGCTCCTGACATCTCTTCACAAAAAGTGTATGATCAGACTGGCACTATTGGAACCCCATCTCTTGAATTGCCATGTGAAACTTACTGAACTAGGCTCTGGGAGACTGTTTTAATCCGTAGAGAGACTTTCGTAGCTAGCACACCTTGTTTTCACTTCCCTTAGCAGAGAATCCAAGAGGATGAACCATGTATACCTCTTCTTCCAAGTCACCATTCAGGAAGGCATTCTTTATGTCCAGTTGATGCAATTCCCAGTCAAAGTTAGCAGCTAAGGATAGGAGAACCCTAATCGAGTTCATCTTAGCCACCGGAGCAAAAGTTTCATCATAGTCAACTCCATATACCTGTGTGTACCCTTTGGCTACTAGTCTTGCTTTGTACCTTTCAACTGTTCCATCTGCCTTGTGCTTAACTGTGAACACCCATTTGCACCCCACGGGTTCTTTCCCCTCTGGAGGATCCACCAATTCCCAAGTCTGATTTTTGTGGAGGGCATCAATCTCCTCCTTCATGGCATCTATCCATTCAAGGTATTTTAAGGCTTCTGCAACATTCTTGGGAACAGAGATGCAGTCAACTGCCGATAGGAAGGCTCGGTACGAGGGAGAGATGTGGTCATAGGAAACAAAGTGGGTAATGGGGTGTTTGGTAGTGCAAGACCTGACTCCCTTTCGTTGAGCAATAGAGATGTCTAGGTCGTCCAAAGTGGGAGTAGGGTTAAGGGTTGGACTTACCTCCTGGGATTTTGATGGTGTCAGTTGCTCAGTGTTTGGCTGCTCCACATTTCTATCACACTGCTAATCTCTCCGACGAGTACGTTGGAAGACACAGAAGGGAGTGAGGTCCGGAATAAAAGGAAGAGACACCTGAACCTGCTTCACCTCTTCCACACTACGGCTCTCCCCCTAAGGAGGAGGGAATAACGGCTCGGACTCAAAGAATGACACATCCATAGACACAAAATATTTACGACTAACTGGGTCAAAACACCGATACCCCTTTTGAGAGGATGGGTACCCCAGGAAGACACAAGGAATGGACCGAGGGTCTAACTTACCTCTGGATGGAGACAAATCATGGGCAAAGGCCCGACAACCAAAGACTCTCATGGGGATGGAAAATAAAGGTGACTGAGGGTACAATAACTGGTGAGGGGCCATGTAATTCAATACTCTAGAGGGCATACGGTTGATGACAAACGCAGCTGTAAGTATAGCATCCACCCAAAACCTTTTTGGGACATTCATGTGTAACATCATCCCGCGGGCTACCTCAAGGAGGTGTCTGTTTTTTCTTTCTGCAACCCCATTTTGCTGTGGTGTTCTGGCGCATGAGCTTCTATGAATAGACCCATGGGAGGCGAAGAACTCATTTAGCTCCCCATGGAAGTATTCCTTCGCATTATCGAATTGGAAGATCTGTATTTCAACATGGAACTGTGTAAACACCATCCTCTGGAAGTCTTTCACTATCTTTGGAACCTCGTCTCTACTACGCATAGGGATTACCCATGTATAGGGAGAATAATCATCAATCAATGTAATAAAA